TATATATATATATATATGTATGTATAAAAAAATTAAAAATTATATAATAAAAAATTTACAACTGAAGAATTTGAAATTATGTCACTGAAGAATTTGAAAATGCCGCGTGTTTCTTTTTGTGAATAACTTCGTGTCACATATTGACCAATCAGAATTAAGGATTAGTGGTCAGGCAGTTTCGAGATATTTCGATATAAACCAACTTCACGTTTCTTTCATCTTTAGTAAAATAGGACTGTCGAACAATTCAGTAGCGAAGTGGTAAAACGGTACAAGTCAATTTTGACTATTGACCAGTTTTTAATGAATATCTCGGAATCTAAGAGAACTAGCAAAATTTTTGTTATAACCGTTTTTGTAAAGCTAATTGAGAGCTACAACTAATGTAATTACGAAAATTTCGCTATCTCCCTTAGATTTGGAAATATTTGTCAAAAACTCAACTGGGAGATGAGTCGACTTGAACCGTTTTACTTCGCTACTGAATTCTGCAGCTTTATTTTTTTTTATAGAAAATTCCTGTAGAAAGTATTCTATAAAAAAATTGCAGGCGGCTGTACACGTACGAAAAAATTTAAAACAAAAACCTATCGAATTCGTTAGAAAGTTCTATTGAATTTCTATTAAACTTTCTATTAGTTTTTGGCTGATTCTATTGACATGTTCAATAGAAAAAATTCAATAGAAAAAGTTAATAGAATTAGATTTTTCTATATAACTTACTCTTTTCATATATTTTCTATAGAATTTGCTCGACTCAAATTTTCTAAGTTTTTTTCATTCTATTTTTCTTTTCTTCTCATCAAGAAAATCAAACGAAAAAACTTTTCAATTGGAAATTTCAATAGAATACGCCAAAAACTAATAGAACAGTTCAATAGAAATTCAATAGAATTTTCTAACGAATTTGATAGGTTTTTCTATTAAATTTTTTCGAAAGTTAAAGAAACTTCTCAAATTACCTCGAAATGTCTAGAATTTTTTAGAATTGCGATAGATGGCGCTGCACATAAAGACCGTTTCTCGAAATGACACCCCATATTGAAACCATAGACGTATCCCCGTCAAAATCAATAGAATTTCATCTTTCTATACTTCTTCTCTTGGAATTCTTCGACATGAATTTTCCAAGTTTTTTCAGTTTATTCGTCTTCACTATTCGTTTAAAAAAACACAAAAATTTGAGGCGACGGATTTCTGGAGAAAAGATCTCAATAGAATAAGTTGCGCTGGAGAGTCGAATTCTATAGAATATTTTCTATTGTCCAAAAATTGGTATAAAGTTCAATAGAAATTTGTTCACCGTATTTTTGTGATTTTAATAGAAGTCACCATTCGTCGCGATCATCGGAGATTCTTGCCAGTTCAAAAAGTTAGTCTCGTAGAGGGGAGTGGGATATAATGGACGCACGAAGAATATTTAAAATTATATTGAATTCCTCGAATTATCGAATTTCTTTTCTAGCGTTTTTTTAGGAAAATATCCCATAGAAACTATTGGAAAAAATGAGTAGAATTTCATCTTTTTATAAAACTTTTTTTATTATAACATTTTCTATTCGAATTCCTCGACATGAATTTTCCAAGGTTTTTTTCACTCTATTCTTTTTTTCTTTAAATTTAAAAAAAATTAACAAAAACATATTTTGGAAATAAAAACAATCGTGAAATTTCCCTTACTTTTTGGGTTTTTGACAGTTGAGGACGGTCTGTTTTACCCCACTCTTCCCTGTGTAAAGCTTATCTGTAATAATCAATTAGCACGATGGAGAGCAGAAAATGTGAGGGAATTGCGTAATACCGGAGTTATCTTGTCTTGCAATTGTGATAGGGACAATTTTTTGAAAATAATTTTTTCGATGCGAAATTCTATTCAAGTTTAATTGGAAATTCTATTTGTTTTTCGCTGATTTTATTGAAAAATCCTGCAGCTTTTTTTTGTGCTTTAAAAAATACTCAATTTTCTGTAGAAATTTTTTTCAGAAATAATCAACAAATTTTGATATCTCTACGCAATTGTCATTATTGAGATATTTTGTACAGAAATCCCTCATCATAAATTTCCCAATTTTTCTTTGCTGCTTTTTTTCTCCCTCTCTTACTCAGAAATTCAAAGAAACAAGAAACCTTCAAAAGACTAGGGTTGCAGTTTTCCAGGAAAATCAATGAAAAAGTCATTAGTGAAGTGGAAAAACGTTATACCAAAAATAGACCAAATCAATACTGAATGGTTTCAGTATTAGGAAATTTCACAAGGAAATGTCAACAGAATTTTTGTCATAGAAGCTTAAGGAAAATAGAATGCCATTGAGCTTTCATTGGAAATTCTATAAATTTTTCTCCGATTCAATTGAAAAATTCTGCAGCTTTTATTCGTGGTAAAGAAAAACACAAATTTTCAATAGAAATTTATTTTTAAAAAAAATCAATAGACTACGATATTCCTATAGAATTGTTATTATTGAGATATTTTCTATAAAAATTTCTCAATACGAATTTCCTCATTTTTTCTCCGTCTCGTACTGAGAAATTCAAAGGAACAAGAAAACTGTGAGGTTCCGGTTTTCCGCGAAAATCAACGAAAAAGTCATTAGTGAAGTGGAAAAACGTAATACCAAAAATAGAACAAGTCAATACTAAATGGTTTCCGTCTCAGGAGATTTCACACGGAAATGCCAACCGAATTTTTGTCATAGAAGCTTAAGGAAAATAGAATGCCATTGAGTTTTCATTGGAAATTCTATAAATTTTTCTCCGATTCAATTAAAAAATTCTGCAGCTTTTATTCGTGGTAAAAAAAAGACAAATTTTCAATAGAAATTCATCTCAGAAAAAATCAATAGACAATTCCTATAGAATTGTTATTATTGAGATATTTTCTGTAGAAATTCCTCAATATGAATTTCCCCATTTTTTCTCCGTCTCGTACTGAGAAATTCAAAGGAACAAGAAAACTTCGAGGTTCCGGTCTTCCGCGAAAATCAATGAAAAAGTCATTAGTGAAGTGGAAAAATGTAATACCAAAAATGGAACAAGTCAATACTAAATGGTTTCCGTATCGAGGAATTTCACAAGAGAATGTCAACAGGATTTCTCTCACAAAAAATTTGAGAATAAAAAAATCTGGAGAATCTAAAGCCATTGAAAATGTCACGTTTTCAACTCGACTTAGCTCTCTGCCGAGTTTCCGCGGAATATCTCTGAATCTAAGGGAGATAGATAAATTATCGTAATAACGTTATTTGTGGGTCTTAATCCGATCTAAAAAAAAGGTCATAACAAAAACTTTGCTGTCCGCATTAGATCCCGAGATATTCATTGATAACTGGCCAATAGTCAAAATCGACTGGCACTGTTTTAACGCTTCACTGAATTATCTCGATATGTAACTGGAAATTCCAGTAAAAAAGTTCTCAACAACGAAAAAAAACATTGTTTACAACAGGTACATGCTAGAGCCCGAGGTGACGAGTGACGATGAACATTATCTACTGCTGAATGGCTCTATTTTTGGTCCACATCACATGCCATCAATGCTCTCCCCAGGGAGAGATTACTGCATGGAGGTCATCCCTGATCTGGGTCTGAGGACACTGGTCTGTTTCCAAGAAGGTAAAAGTCAAATAATCTTATAATTCCTGAAGCATCAATAATGCAGGAATGACTCAGGATGATCTAAAATCGATAGATAATGTTCGTGAAACCATATCCGCTGAATTTCAACGCGATGAATCCATCGAATTCCGTTGAATTTTGACGGAATGTAGACCTTGATAAACCCTATCGATCAAACCCAATCATTAGTCAATCGATCGAATGGATTATGAGACATTCTTTGATTCGAAAATCATTCAGTAGCGAAGTGGTAAAACGGTTTAAGTCGATTTTGACTATTGGCCATTTTTTAGTGAATATCTTGGAATCTAAGGGAGATAGCTAAATTTTTGTTAATACCTTTTTTGTAGCACTCAATTTGCTCTAGACAAAAGGTTTCATTTTCATTACATTTTCATTGTTATTTCATAAAAATCCAACAGCACAGGCCAATTACAGGATCAAATAATGCATACTCAAAATCAAGACAGTAAAGAAAAATTAACTATTTCTAAAAAAAAACTTCAAAAGTCGCTGGTGAGACAGTATTTACAATATGTACATAGAAAGATATTCTAAGTAAAAATTCATACAAAAACAGGATGCACGAGTTATTACGGAAATTAGGTTACGAAAAAGGTTATTACAAAAATTTCCTTAGCTCCTTTAGATTGGGAGATATTCTTCAAAAACTCAACTAAGAAATAAGTCGAATTAACCCGTTTTACCACTTCACTGCTGCATTGTTTTGGCGATAAATAAAATATAATCGTCTATTTCTTTAAAATAACGTTGAGTTGTTGAATAATAGAGTAAAAACAGATTAAATGTAGGTAAAAACGATGATTTTTATGTTGAAGTTATCAAAATAAAATGATATTTTATGATATTTTTATGTTGAAGTATGTGGTATTCTTGACAGTGAATGAAAAATAGAAATCAGAAGGAATCTGGATCCCAAGGCAGTTGCCTTGTTATTTGGACTTTTCATGTAAAATTGAAAGCAGTCGTTTCAGAGGTCTCGACGGATCCCTTCACCGTTCACAATGTTTTGTCGATAATTAACGCTTGCTCAATTCTATAAACTGAGAAATTTACATAAATACATTTTTCACGTGTAAACGTAGTTGTTATAGCCCTTGTTATCGAAATTCTGTGGTTGAGTAATCCCTGGAAAATCTCATGTAACGAAAAGACTAACGGAAGTTGCGCAGTCGACAACTGCGCTTGGAGGGAATACAATGCGCACAGCCATGTGTACATGCCCTGCGTGTTTTTCTCATGCTTTATATCAGTAGCGAAGTGGTAAAAGGAGATAAGTCAATTTTGACTACTGACCAGTTTTCATTCAATATCTCGGAATCTAAGGAAGATAGCGAAATATTTGTTTATTTCGTTGATTAGCTCTTTTGTCGAGCCAATTGAGTGCTACAACAAATGTAATTACGAAAATTTCGCTATCTCCCTTAGATTTCGAAATATTTACTGAAATCTGGTCAATAGTCAAAACTGACTCCTCTCCTTTTACCCCTTCGCTACTGATATAAGTTATTCTTGACCTGGAATGAAAAATAGAAATGCTCATGATCTTGACAGTGGAATCTGAAGAAATTTGGATCCCAAGGCAACTGTATAGACTTCTAATCATGGAAAATTGAAAGTATTCTTTTCACAGGTCTCGACGGGTCCCTTCACCGTTCACAATGTTTTGTCGATAATTAACGCTTGCTCAATTCTATAAACTGAAAAATTTACATAAATACATGTTCGACGTGTAAATATAGTGGTTATCACCCTTGTTATCAAAATTCTATGGTGAAGTAATCCCTGGAAAATCTCATGCAACGAAAAACCCAACGGAAGTTGCGCAGTCGACGACTGCGCTTGGAGTGAATACGATGCGCACAGCCATGTGTACATGCACTGCGTATTTTTTTCATGCTTGATTTTGTATTTTGTTTCTCACCATCGGGAAGAACGTGGATGAAGTCCACATTTATAATGCAGATAGACCTTTGAAGTCGATTTTTTTTTTGAATAACGAAAGAATACCCATAATTTCGATTCCTCTCCTTGTTTTTTGATAGAATGAATGGAATTACATAAGTGGCAATGAATTGCAATCATCATGAATTGGAGACTAACGGTTCTCTATTTTTTTTTCAATTTGTCCAAGTTACAAATTTTAAGGATTTTGAAAATTTTTGAAAATTTAAAAAATTTTAATTTTTTTTTTTCAAATTTTGAATTTTTTTTAGCTATTTTTTCAATGTCTTCAAAAAGTTTTAAAATCGATATATTTTTTCGAATAATGAAAGAATACCCCTACACTCGATTTCTATCCTTGTGTAGAATGAATAGAATAAATGACAGAAATTGAGAATTGGAGACAACAAATTTTATCGTATTATTATCATGTAATTTTATCTTCAGAGGAGCAAAAGAAGGCTGGAGACTTTCGATTGACGTTTTACGCCTGCGGGCTCCTCATTTCCGTGCCCTTTCTCATCCTCACGATAATTGCTTACTGCATCACACCGAGACTGATGGATGTCCATGGAAAAGCTCTCTGTCACTACTGCGGGTGTCTCGCTGTGGCTTTTGCGGCACTCGCCATCACTCAATTATCGAGCAACCATTTGTATGATGAAATGTGTATTTCCACAGGTTGGTAATTTTTTCTATCGCCTCCTGGGGATTCCCAGGACAGAAGAAGTGCTGAAGATTCTAATTTTCTCTTCTCATAGCCTTTGTCATTCAGTTCTCCTTTGTCGCGTGCTTCTTCTGGCTGAACGTAATGTGCATTGAGACTTATTTACTCGCTAGGAGGTACATGGATAGTGGATGTTCAACCGCTCGTCAACCCCACAGACTGTTTTTTTATTACTCCCTGTGGGCTTGGACACCTCCTGCTATTCTCATTATCGTTTCTATGATCATGGATCTTAGTCCGACTGTCCCCATGACGTATATTAAACCGAATTTTGGATCACAGAGCTGTTGGTTTGAATGTAAGTATTGATGATCTTAATTCAACTCAAGGATTTTTATGGGTTTTTATGAAAAAATCGTATAGAAATTTTCTATACGGATTACGTATGAAAATTCTATAGGATTTTCGTATATGATATTCGGATATTTCTATACATAAATTTTTGTTTTCGTACGAAAGATGTCTAAACGCTCCAGAAAAAAATGTAGAGAAATGTCGCAACTCCATACGAAATATTTCTATACTTGTGGTAGTGGGTCGTATAGGCTCAAACCTATAGAAATTGTATAGAAATAATTTGTGTAAAAAATCTCCATATAGAAATATCCGAATATCATATACGAAAATCCTATAGAAATTTTATACGTAATCCGTATAGAAAATTTCTATACGATTTTTTCCTACGTGATATTCCACGTCAAGTGAGTCAATCGCAGACCCTCACCCTCTTGGAAATTAATGGTGACTTTTTCTACGATCGCGGAGGTCGAAAAACTATCTCTCAAATTTTTTCAGATTTTTTCGGCAACCCAGTTCGGAGATGTGATTTTTTGACATTTTTCCGTTTTTTCCAATAACTCGAGTTCTATTTATCCGATTTTCATTTACTAAGCGTAAAAATTTTCCATTTTTTACCGCCTATACGACTATTTTTAGTAACTTTTTTTTTCGATCCCTAGATACTCATAATAACGAAATTTCTAAAAAAAAAAGTTGAAAAACTTGAATTTCCCAAATTACGTCACGGTTGGTAGTCAAATTTTTTTTCAGTAGTTCTCATAATTAAAACAAGTATTTTGAGCTATCATTCAAGTTGGGCATCCTCCTGGATCTATGTTATTTTTAATTTTTTATTTGGGAAGTTTCACAAATTTAGTCAAAACACCACAAAACCACTTCGATTATGTATAGAAAAAATATGTAATATATAAGTATACAATAAAATTCACTTCATACTGTCTATAATTAAAGTCAATCAACGCCATTTTGAGGTGTTGCGACCAAATTTACGGAATTTCGAAACGAAAAAATTGAAAATAAAATAGATCCAGGACGATGCCCAATTTGTATGATGGCTCAAAATACTTGTTTTGATTATAAGAATTACTGAAAAAAAATGAAACAAATCATCCGTGACATAATTTCCAAAATTCAAGTTTTTCAACTTTTTTATTCGAAAAGTCGTTATTATGCGCATCTAGAGATCGAAAAAAAAAAATTCACTAAAAATATTCTTATAGGCAGTAAAAAATGAAAAATGTTGACGCTTAAGAAATCAAAATCGGATGAATAGAACTCGAGTCATTGAAAAAAAACGGAAAAATGAAACAAAAATCATATCTCCGAACTGGGCTGCTGAAAAAATCTGAAAAAATTTGAGATATTCGCGATCGCAACGTAGATGTGGGAGCCACCAAGTGGTCTCTAAACTAACTACTCTTGGGGGGCAACCAATGAGATCTCTCGGAGGGAACCAATGATGGAGTTCAAACAATGAGATCAAGAGTGGTTCCAGTGGAGAGACCACTTGATGGCTCCCACATCTACGTTGCGATCGCGAATAGTTGTTCAATCTCCTCAATCGTAGAAAAAATCGCCATCGATTTCCAAGAGAGTGAGGGTCAGCGGTTGACTTATTTGGCGTGGAATATCTCATATGAATCCGAAAGATGGGAGACTTCCCCTTCGGATTGTGTAACGCATCCGCAATTCGAAACATCAATCATCACTTTAAAAAAATTACGAAATGATTGAATTCTTTCAGCGGACGTAGAGGCGATGCCTTACTTCTACGTCCCAGTGGGTCTCCTGCTCATCGCCAACATCGTTCTCTTCACAATGACAGCCGTCGCAATCACCCACCACCAACGAGACCTAGACCTCCGTCGATTGCGTCAAGACAGAGAAACGAATCGAGACGAGCGTCGAACATTGAGTCGATTAAAACGCCTCTTCCTCGTTTGCCTGAGTTTGTTCTTCCTCATGGGCATGAACTGGGCGATGGAGATGATATCCTGGTGGGCAGGAGGCGATCCCCTCGCGTGGTCAGCCTTTGATCTAGTCAATGCTCTCCAGGGGATTCTTGTCTTCGGGATATTTGTCCTGAGGAAGCCCATTAGACAACTTGTTTGGTACGAAGTGCAGAAGATTCGGGGGGTAGAGGCGACGGAACCGGAAGTTGCTAGTATGGATCGATCTCTTCTCACTGTACTCAATATTGATGCGTTACCTTCCACCGAGAGAATGTTGTAATTGATGATTGCATTGAGAGAAGAATTTATTTGCTAAGACAAAATTTTTCTATTTCAACAATTTTTTTACCTCATTTTTTACTTTTTTTCACATAAAAATTTTTTGATTCTATAATCTTTGAGATATTATACAAGATCTTAAGCGACAATCATTATATGAGCTGAAAGAGGCCTCAGGAGTGAAAAAAAACTAGTGAAATCTGCAAAATCTTTTGCCATCAAATTCTCTATTAAAAAGTCATAGAGAAATTCGAAAGATGGTTTGAAAAATTTGTTCATTCTATAGAAATCAAATGGGGAGAGTTATAGTTCATGAGAAGAGGTTGAATAATGTTACGGCACGTTTAGAAATACCGCCATCTTGAAAACTGATTGCGACAGAGGGAGAGGGTATCCAAGCAAGATGGTGGCGCCTACACCTATCACCTCGTCTTTTTAAACATTTATTAAAATTATTTAGCCACATCAGATCGCCTTTAACTCATTTCATGCAGTTCCTATAACAAATGAACCAATTTTTTAAGCTGATTCTTGAGGAGTTAATTCAAGATCATAAGAAATAATCAGTCTATGGCCTGAGAGAGGCTTCGCGAGTGGAAAAAACTACTGAAATCTGCAAAAACTTCATCACGAATTCTCTGCCAAAAAGTCAGAGAAAAACCTGAAAAATGGTTTCCAAAAATTTGTTCCTACTATAGAAACCAAATGAACAGGGTTAAGGTTGATCAGAGCAGTTCAAATGATTTTATAAAACGTTTAAAAATACGAGGTGAAGGCGCCACCATCTTGAAAGCTACTTGCGACAGAGGGAGGGGGTATGCAAGCAAGATGGTGGCGCCCACAACTGTCATCTCGTATTTTTAATCATTTATTAAAATTATTTAGCCCCATGAATTCGCCTTCAACTAGTTTTATTCAGTTCTTACAGAATGAAAAAATGTTTCAAGCCATCCCTCAGATTTTTCCACTCTTGAGGCCGCCAAAAATAATTCATTTCTTCCAAAAAAATATTCATTCGGCAACAATAAATTATTCTCTCAGTGTGAAAAGTGTATGAAATGAACAATTTTATAACCATTGCCTTAACGATCAATTCCATTTATTTATTTATTTATTTATTTTTATATTCCCAGAGATGAACATAACTCTATCATTTCCATTTCTCCAATTGTTCCACAAATTACCATTAATTTATACTGATTGCAAGTATGTATACAGTTAATTATTTATATAATTTAATCCCCTGTCCTCCTAGTCACTATTGCATACATACCTTGCATAATGGGGAGCAATTGCTACTTACAAGATAATAAAATAAAGAACATCTCATTACTTTTCTCGTCGATAAATCTATATAAAATTATATTGCTTCCATATACCCAACACATTTTACACAGCAAAACTAAACAAATTAGCTAAGTCGCGATAACATTATCAAGGCAGGTACCCAATTACTTTGTTCGATTCCATAATTACTCAGAGGGAATGGGATTTTCTGTTCCCATTGAGCTCTGAGGATGCTTCAAGCTCTTCTGTGGCCAGGGAAGGGAGGACTCATCCCTAGGACACCAACAATATCACCAGATTGAGAGACGTATACCAGACGATACATTCCTGGCGCTCTGAGGGCACTGTCATTAAAGTATATTCGTTCAGTTATGGTGTTGCTGGTTGCATCTGAGAAAGTGTCTATACCAGGTTTACCTAGAAGAAAAGAAGAGGCAATTGAAAATTGCATTTGCACAAGCAGAATTTTTTAACATGAATAATAAGATCAGGAGCGAAGCGGTAAAACGACTCCGATTAAACGGCAAATTGATCGGAAAAATTCGAGACCTCGCGAAAATCATCAGGTGTTAGCATTTTATATTATTTACAGGTAAAAGTCCCTCACAAGGTCATTACGAAAATTTCGTTATCTCCTTTAGATTCAGGGATATTCCTCGAAAACTTGGCTAAGTCGGCCTAAACCGTCTTACCGCTTCACTACTGTATTTTTGGTTGATTAAAACAAAAATTTCTCATGTCAGGGCATATGTCCAGCACAAATGTTCAGCACATGTAAGTGACTTGTTTGTCCTCACCCCGGCCAACATATTCATAAACCAGATATTCATCCAGAGACGAGAAACCCTCGTGGAAAAGTCCAATCCAATCACCGGGGGAAGGTTTGAAGTCACCTCTGAGGGTGTAACCCACAGAGTTCTGTTGATCCACTATCCAAGCGCTCACTGGCTGGAACTCCACTCCATGGTCCTCATAATCGGGCCTAATCTAGATTAAATCATCAACATAGGCGCATAAAAACCGAGGGCAAAATATTTTTATGTCATCATTCATTTCAAGATTCAATATTAAGGCGCGGGTGTACTATCTTTCGAATGTTATCTGTATTTTTTTTATCTTTCGCAATCCAAAATTGTTAATTGAGTGGTACATCATGTAGAAATTCCCAAAAATTATGATAGAATGATGAAAAAAACTGGCAAAAATTCTGAACTTTTTCAAAGAGCGCTTTTAATTGAGATTCAGAATGAGTTGAAAAAAGTGGAAATTACAAATATCTGATTCGCTGTGGCAAATTATCTATTAGCTGTAATTTTCGCTCAATTTTCAAAACAGTGGTATGTAGCCATCTGCCATTTTTATGTGATGAAAGTGTGATTAAAAAATTCTCCAAAAAAATAATACAACTTTTTTCAAAGAGCCTTTTCCGTAATAAGTCTCTGTGCAGTGTAGGAAGATTTACGAAATCAGTCTTCCCCCTGCATGATATTGGGCGACAGGCCACCATTTGTCACCCTAAATCAGATACATTTTTCAATTTCTTGTTATTCAAATTATTCTGTGTATAAATTAAAAATGCCCTTTGAAAAAATTAAGAATTTCTTCTACTTTTTTTTTATTATTCATTCATAATTTTTCAAAACTTCTGCATGATGCAGGACTTGATTGACAATTTCAGATGACGAAAGATGAAAAAAAACATCGACATAACATTCAAAAGATAGTACACCCGGGCCTTAAATATGATATTTTAATATTATCATTTTTCCAATGATTTTGTCACTAATGAGAATGAAAGTTCTTCGTTACCTTTATAGTGAACTCTGCACTGACTGGCTTGTGATCCGACTGTACGTAACTCGGATGACTCCTGTAATTCTTTTCTACAGCTTCTAACTTCATGTCCTCATATACATCAGCATTAACTTTGTACAAAATCCTATCCGTCCAGGACGGACGACGTCTGCAATAAATTAAATTTATTCACTGCATTAAATTGAAAAAATTAATTAAAAACATTACTTCATTCATTTTATTTTATTGTTCTGAAGGTCTTTGAAGTGTTATGAATAAAATCCAGTCAAAATTCAAGTTACACTTGTACTACCTTAATTCAATGAAACATACTTGAGATCATATTCCTGAGATGAAAATTCGAATTTATAAGTAGGTGGAAATGCAATAATCTCTTCACTGAATTCTGCAAAGGCATCTCCACTCTCCTTCGCGACGTTCAACTGATCCCTGCTCAACAGGAGCTTCAGTTCATTCTTCTTCACGAGGTTGTCGATGATCTCTGCTGTCAGGTCTTCCCCATTGAGTCGAAAATTCAGGTCCCCAATCCAGAAAATATAGCTGTCATACATCACATAAGAATGTTAAGGGGAGATCGCACTGAAATTTCAAAATCGCAAGGGCCTTCATTTAGCGTGCTGACGTGTATGACGCCATTCTCAATCAATTGACTTGAATTTTGGATTACACATTCAGAATATATGCATAAGTGTAGGTAACTAAATGAGGGTTTTCGAATATTTTCATTTTTTGGATTTTTGTTCTGAAAGCTGCTGCAGGTGAAAAATCGGAAAAATTTCCTACCTCAATGATTTATGATGCTATTACTAATTTTTTAAATTTTTCACATCACTCAATTTTGATTTAAAAAAATGAAAAAATTCAAAAAAAGATTTTTTTACAAAAACTCAATTCTTTGTGTACATACGATGTACATGTGAACTAAAATTTTAGTCGATCGGTTGAGAATTGCGTCCCGAGAACACTTTCGAAGACTTTATCCCTCCACAGTCTCTGTATTATCACCAAAAAAATAAAAACCTAATTTTTTCACATTTTTTACATTAAGGTTCGGATGTACTATCTTTTGAACGTCATCTCGATATTTTTTTTCATCTTTTGTTATCTGAAATTGTCAATTGAGTCCTGCATCATGCAGAAGTTTTAAAAAATTATAAATGAATATTAAAAAAACAAGTAAAAGAAATTCTTAATTTTTTCAAAGAGCATTTTTAATTTATACACAGAATAATTTGAATAACAAGAAATTGAAAAATGTATCTGATTTAGGGTGAGAAATGGCGGCCAGTCGCCCAATATCATGCAGGGGGAAGACTGAATTCGTAAATCTTTTCCCACACAGCACAAAGACATTTATTACGGAAAAGGCTCTTTGAAAAAAGTTGTAATGTTTTGGAGAATTTTTTAATCACACTTTTATCACATAAAAATGGCAGATGACTACATACCACTGTTTTGAAAATTGAGATACCTAGCTGTCACTTCCCATGAGGAGTTGTATTTTGTTATCCACCATGGAAAATGACAGCTAATAGATAATTTGCCACAGCGAATCAGATATTTGTAATTTTCACTTTTTTCAAACCATTCTGAATCTCAATTAAAAACGCTCTTTGAAAAAGTTCAGAAATTTTTCTATTTTTTTAAATCATTCTATCATAATTTTTGGGAATTTCTACATGATGTACCATTCAATTGACAATTTTGGATTACGAAAGAGGCAGTGTCTATTCACACGGTCCACGGTAAATTTTACCGTGGATATAGGGTATATTTTACCGTGGATATACGGTAATTTCTACCGTGGATATAAGGTAAGCGGGGTACGTTAGGCCCATTTTTTTTACCGTGGATAAAAGGTAATTCTTACCGTGGGTATAAGGTAAAGGAGTGGTGTGCATCGGGCCCATTTTTACCGTGGATATAGGGAAGATTTTCACCGTGGATATAAAGTAATTTTTTTTTACCCTGCATATAAGGTGAGTGAATGGCGTGCAGTGTTTCCACTTTTTACCGTGGAAGATGGTTTTAAAGATGACAAATGTCTCCAAAGATGATGTCTGTTTTCAACTGGAAAGCGCAATTGTGACAACATTGTCCAGTGGGGTCTAGGAGTCTCCCCTGGTTCAAAACCATCTTTAGAGGCATCAGCACACCATTTTTCGAGCCGCTCTTTCATTTGAGCCCAAAAAAACATTCATATCTTGTCTGACATCTCTGCTACAAACTCTGGTCTTCAACTTTGGTTTTAATTGAAAACAACTCTGGTCTTCAACTCTGGTTTTGAAAACCAGAGTTGAAAACCAGAGTTTGTAGCAGAGATGTCAGACAAGATATGAACGTTTTTTTGGACTCAAATGAAAGAGTGGCTCGAAAAATGGTGTGCTGATGCCTCTAAAGATGGTTTTGAACCAGGGGAGACTCCTAGACCCCACTGGACAATGTTGTCACAATTGCGCTTTNGGGACTGCTGAAAAATTGAAAAATGTTTTTAAAAAAATTTCCTCTCCTGAAGACATTCTGTGAAGAATTATTTGCATTTTGCAACTAAAATGGACTTTTCGGCGTTGGCGGCGAATCAGCCTTTTCGTAGTTCAACTTTGAGCGCGCTTGGCGACTTGACGGTTTAAATTGCGAAAATGCCGCCATTGACTTTTTTGTAGGAAATTTTATGCTCTACAAATTAAGCCGTATGCATTTTTATCCTATCACGGTTTCCTCGGCGTAAAGCAAAAAAGGTCGCGTGGACGCTCGATTTTTGAGTTTTGAATTTTTTCAAACAATTTCCCGGTTTGCTACAATCCCACAAACTTAGTATATGTTTCATATCATTCCTCCGCATGATATCTCATGGTTTTTATCCTTCTTCTATCATCCTCGATTTCGGCCGAAAAAAAGTCCTTATTTGATTGGCCTACTAACTTTATTCGTCTCTTGTTTAACCCTGGTCGTCACCCCCCTGATCTTTGAAATTTTAAAGGCTCTAACCCATAATACAACTAGATCCGCGAGATAATTTCCCTACGCGATGCTTACCGCTGATCTCCCTTATATACACGGTAGACATCACCATAGATCCACGGTAAAATCTCCCTTGCATCCACGGTAAAAAGTGGAAACACTGCACGTCATTCACTCACCTTATATGCAGGATAAAAAAAAATTACTTTATATCCACGGTGAAAATCTTCCCTATATCCACGGTAAAAATGGGCCCGATGCACACCACTGCTTTACCTTATATCCACGGTAAGAATTACCTTTTATCCACGGTAAAAAAATGGGCCTAACGTACCCCACTGCTTACCTTATATCCACGTTAGAAATTGCCGTATATCCACGGTAAAATATACCCTGTATACACGGTAAAATTTACCGTGGACCGTGTGAATAGACACTGCCAAAGAAAGATAAAAAAAAATCCAGATAACATGCGAAAGATAGTATACCCGGGCCTTAAACCTGAAGTAATAAACTCATCAGCACAATAGACGAAGGCACCAACGATTCCAAAATGTCACTGCGGTCTCCCCGCAGGTTTTTGGTCCCCATCGAGTAATTTAATCAGAGAAACTCACTCATGGTATAGGATATGTTGTGTTTCAGGTACTTGGAATGCGTGCTCTCTGAGAATAGTGTTATAATCAGCTATTCTGTCGTTGAATAGATGATCGTGGGGAGTCAGGTGTGTATTTACGATGCAAATGTTCACACCATACATGTTAAAACGAACACTAACTGCACCCTTATTGCCCTGGGAAATAAAAATAAAAAGAAGTTGAGGAGAATAAATTTTTTTCCCCATTTTGCGTGACAAATCTGCTTCATCATTGAATTAAACTATTTCTAAACTTGTTAGATAAATATGAAACTATCATTGATGACTAAAATGAGAAAATATGAAAACGTTAAGCATCAAGAACTTGAAATAATGATAATTCTCTTCAGTAAAATAATAATCGTTCTAGTTTAGTTGAGTTTTCGAGGAATATCTCCGAATCTAATGGTTATACCGAAATTTTCACTATGACCTTTTTTGTAGAGTGAATTGAGGGCTACAAAAAAGTTTTTGACAAAAATTTTGCTATCTCCCTTAGATTTCGAGATATTCCTTGAAAACTGGTCAATAGTCAAGTCAACACAAACCGTTTTAGCAAATATGGAACTGAAAATGGAATTCTGTTTTACATTTGAAGTTGTGGGAATGAAGCAATGGAGATGTGATGACTTACCCACATGCCTCCGAGGCCAGTCCTCGTGTAGGTGGCCTCGATGAACCTCAGGTGAGTCAAGTGCCTCCGCAAACAAAATACATTTAACACAAGTCCCTGCAGCCTCTGTGTACGTATTTTTATGTAATCGTGCTCCTTTAATGATTGTTTGAAAATCTTGGTCCATGGATCCTCGAAGAGCATGTCGATTACCATGTTCTGGGGCTGAGACTTCACCTCCTGTAGTCTGAACAACAAAACAATTCTCACAAAACGAAAAAAGTAGAAAAATAAAATTGAAGAAAATCTTTTTGTCAATCAATCATCAATATCTCATGACCAAATGACGCAATTCAGATGAATCCGATCTCATTTTAAAGTCTGAAAAAATACCTTCAAAATGAAAAAAAAGTCATCGAATTTCACTCTGCCAATCTTTATCTATTGATTTATTCATTTAGACCGCAGTGGATAAAACGAATCGTCTTCAATCATCAATAACTCCAGAACGGTAGAGTGAAATTCCCCAATTTTTTCTTCATTTTCAAGATATTTTTTCAATCATGAAAACGAAATCTGACTCGTCCAAATCGCATCGTTTGCTCACGAGATATCGACGATTGAGTCTTCTCCACTCATTTCTTCGATTTCCAATTTTCCTCTCGGGGTTGAAATAGTGGCAGAAATAAATCGTATAATCCTCTTCCATAAAAAAACAACTTTTGGAAACTCATAACAGCCTTCAGATTTGCTCACCCAACGACGAAGAAGTCGGGTAGTCCTTCTGGGCTCGTGGAGTTGATCCCCAGCATCTGACGAGGATCCTCCTCAGGGAACTTCGTTGCGACATTATAAGTTACGAAGTACAATCTGTCAGTCGTGATAATAAGTCAGATATGAGTGGACACTTTGGAGCGATTGTTGTTGTTTAGAATTTGTCGAACTAACCTCATTTGATTGAGCTCCAGTGTTGTCATGTTTGCGGGTTATAATTCACTGGTGATTAGGGGCATAATTTCATGGTGTGGTTCCTCTGACAATTCATTGAGAAAGTTGACCACCTGACCACCTTCACTGGGCTTTCATCGTGTGTACGACTACAGTTACCATATCACTCGCGGTGTGACGTTTCCACCTGACGTAAACTCCATCTTCGTTTATTGTTGTCTGTCCTATTTCGGCTGTTGTGTAGACTCGCTCCGTCAAGCAGTTATTGGGGGGGATAGGGTGTTTGGACTATTCATTTTTGCTTCCGGATGGAAGCATTGTAATCGTTCAAATTTAAGTTTCCTATTTTTTGTGTTATATCGACCCATTATGATCCCAAAAGTCCGAAAATGCATTTTTTAGACGGTGTCCATATGTGTGTGTGTGACAAACTTTTTCTTCGATTTCTCGCTAATGAATAGATGGCATTGAATCATTTTTTTCCTCAAATGTAGGTATTGCTAAGCCCTATCGATCGCCATTAATTAAAATTTAATTCATTGATTCATTTTCTTAATTTTCGAATTTTTTCAAAATTCAGTTGCGTATAACACGATAATTAAAAAAAATCTTGTAAATTCATTGAATGACGGCTTAAAAAAATCGTTGGGATGTCCTTTTACCGAGTTCGAAGATGGAAACGATAGGCACAATCGTTATTTTGATTTCTGTGAAATTTTTCCAAAATTTCGTATTTTTTGAAAATCAAAATTCCGCAGATATTTCTGGATATTGCGGTTCAAATGAATGCAATCATAGCTTAATATGTTTGTTTTAATGCGACTATGACGACGTTAAAAGGTGGTTACAATAACTCCCTCGGTTAATTTGATTTTTAGGATAATTTTTGGAAATTTCGAATTTTTAGTGAAATTCCCTGAAAGTTAGCTTTCTGATGGTTCCTTTATATGTGATGTTTCGAATGCATTAAATTATGTATAAATGAAATATTCCTCATAATATTTCATATAAATTTTTAGAAATTTTTAGAATTTCATTAAATAGAAAATCTAAAACAATTAGTTGGAAAGAAATTGATTCAATTCAAGAAAATAAAATAGGCTATGAATAATATACAATGGAAAAAAATAAGCAAAATGACCATTCGGAAGCATATTGCTAATTTATTAGCAAAAATAACTATACTACACGCAATACTGGAGCAATTTCCCACTTGTTTGGTGTTTGGCTAATTGTCTTGATAAGGAGGGGATGTGGGGGAAAATACTCAAGGACCTTGTTTGGTGAATGACTAGACTTAGGGTGGATGTGGGATGAAAATGTGGAGGGAGCTGTTGGGAAAAGTACTGATGAGCTGGATTTATTTTGTGGGATCGAACCACTTTGTCAAAACTTATGTACACTTTTTGGTAATATGTAATTTCACTGGTGATAGTCTAATTTCACTGATGATTGTCTTTGCACGTTAATTTGGTGAGTCACTGAATTTAAACTGAATTTAATCATCAGAGGTGATGTACTGAATAAAGGTATTCAATTTTGATTGCTAATTGACTGAATCGACTTCTCGATATGAACTCTTACTAATGTTGATTAATACTCGTTAATAACTATTCGATGAATTACGACACGTTGAATTACTCGTTGAGTTCTAATTAATACTTGTGGACTAGTTGAGAGACTACTACTACCCCGGAGTACCCCGGAGATTTTCGAAGTAGACTGATGGTCGACAAGAATGTTCTGGAATTTTAGTTGCGTTTCAAATAGCCCTTTTTGGAAGAGGATTTTATTAGCTAAAAAAAAGTCTTATGGTGTTTTTCACTGAATCCACTCGTTATTGAAATGATTTTAAAGTAATAAAAAATTGTTCAATGATCTCGATAATGATTGAATTTATCTGAAAACATCAAAATACATTTTCGTATATATGTTTGTCATTCATAGAAAAGGTCTTTCAATGTTTTTCTTCAAAGTCCCTCATTGTAGAGGAAATTTCATATTTAATAAACTTCCCAATTTCACAAATTCACAATTTTAGAGAAAAACTTCAATGCCACAAATTCTGACGAAATAACAACAACTCAATTTTTTTATCACGTCTTTACTGAACTCCTCAAACTCATACGACATACATGGACATATAAAAGTACAAAAAATAGAAACATTCATCCATTAAGCATAATGACTCTTCATATGAAACAATATCTCCCACTCCACAGTAATTAATTATCAGTAGATCATGCCAGGATGAGCGCGTTGGAAGAACACATTGGGATTCGCAGAGAGTGTTGTGTACAGATTGGCAGCATTCAGCTCTGAATCCGGTATATACATTCCGTGTGGTAACACAAACGTCTCCAAAGGTGGCCCCTGCATATCTACGTAATCCAAACATCATCTCATTATTAATCCTATCAATTGATCATTTTATAAATATTCGTAACTAATTACTCTTTCTGAGCCATCAAACGTCGTGAATAAAATATTTAGATAATTTGAATTGAAAAAATACAATTCGATATAGTTTCCATTTTCAACTAATGAAATGTGGAAAATAGAGAGACAATTAAATAAATGCTAGTTGATCAATCGAAAGGGCTTGAACTGTGGCTTTCAAAGAGGCCTGGGTGTACTATCTTTCGAATGTCATCTGGATTTTTTTCATCTTTCGTAATCCATAATTGTCAATTGAGTGGTACATCATGTAGAAATTCCCAAAAATTATATAGAATGATAAAAAAAATAGAAAAAATTCCGAACTTTTTCAGAGCGTTTTTAATTGAGATTCAGAAGGAGTTGAAAAAAGGGGAAATTACAAATATCTGATTCGATGTGGCAAATTATCTATTAACTGTCATTTTCCATGGTGGATAACAAAACACTAACTCCTCATGGGAAGTGACAGCTAGGTATCTCAATTTTCAAAACAATGGTATCTAGTCATCTGCCATTTTTATGGGATAGTAGTGTGATTAAAAAATTCTCCAAAATATTACAACTTTTTTCAAAGAGCCTTTTCCGTAATAAATGTCTGTGTGCAATGTGGGAAAAGATTTACGAAATCAGTCTTCCCCTACATGATCTTGGGTGACAGGCCGCCATTTGTCACCGTAAATCAGATACATTTTTCAATTTCTTGCTATTCAACTTATTCTGAATATAAATTAAAAATGCTCTTTGAAAAAATTAAAAAAAATTTCTACTTTTTTTGATTATTCATTCATAATTTTTCACAACTTTTGCATGATACAGGACTTAATTGACAGTTTCTCATGACGAAAGATGAAAAAAAAACATAAAAATAACGTTCGAAAAATAATACACCCGGGTCTTAATACGACCGACTGGATTAGCCCTGTGTGTAAAAGCTCAGACTGGAGACCTGAGGGTCGTCGGTTCAAACCCAACCTCTGGCGACTGTTTGCATTTCTTCAATTTCATTAATGTAACATTTTAATTCAATAAGAAATGAAATAATTGTTTTGTTGTTTTTCTGTCCATAAAGCGGCACGTCTTCTCTGCCTGCGGCTGTCACGACAAAAATACTATTTTGTGCGTGCTTGGTATACCGAGTGGATAGCCATAGGCATAAAGGCTCAGACTGAAAATCTAAAGGTTATGGGTCCTACCCAACCTTTGGCGATTTTTCTCATTTCTTCAATTTAGTTCATGTGACATTTTGATTAAAATAAGGAATGAAATAACTTGTTTATGAGTGGATAACCACGCGTGGAAAGCTCAGACTGGAAACCTCAGGGTCTCGGGTTCAAACCCAATCTCCGGCAATTTTTCGTATTTTCTCAAATTTACAATTTATCAATTTCTACAAATAATCTTAAAACCACATGATTCTCGTAAAATAGTGCTCAGTTGTGGTTCCAATATGAAAGTTCCTCAAAAATCATCATTTACCGTCAGAGTAAACGGGACTGTTGCCATGTCGGCATGCATTACATCCAGGTAGCGCCGAAGACACCAGTGCAATGCGATCTATCCTCAAAAAAAAATGTCAATCCCAATTAATTCCAACAACACATCACCCCCACAATAAATTCTCCTAAAGATTCGACCCACCTGTACTATGATAATCCATTTTCCGTTTAAATGAACCCCCCTCAGCAGGTTTAAAATGAAAGAAGGAGTACCCACTCCCAGGTAGAGAGCTGAGATGATCGTCATCCCGATCTCTCCTTCCGCCCATTCTGTCGTTCCTCATGATGACACTGGGGATTCCCCCGGGTCCCTCGCGCCCTAGCGCTGCTAATTGACGTCCTTTAGGCAAGAACATCGTGAGGAAGAGAACGAGCGATGTGGACAGGAGACCATACGCCAGCCATGCCTCTCGGTCAACTTCACTGGCGATTATTGTTCCGATTGCACTTGTCAACCAGATTGGAACCGTCAGACCCACTGCAATGGCGATGAATGCCGCTTCCCGATAATTGTCGCGTATTCCACGTGCTCTTATTGCCAGACCTGCTACGGCGATAAGTAAAAGCGCAGGATAGCTGGAGAAATTGAAAATTTTTTAGTGATTAAGTGGTGAAACGTAATTAATTAATTTGATTTGCGAAACTCCTTGTGGTCAAGGTTGTCAATAAAAACTTTGCACCGTAAATTTTCAGCCGAAATGGACATGTTTGAAAACACAAAGTGAAGGCGTCGCCATTTTGTTCGTGGCACTTTGAAAATGGCGGTGCTCACACCAGTCCACCACCTCGCATTTTTAAACATCTCTTAAAATTGTTCATCTTATTCAAATCACTTTCAACTCGTTTCAATCGGTTCCTATAAAAGGAACAATTTTTTAAAGCCATGATACCACTTTTTTCATCCCCTTTCGGCGGAGAATTTACAGTTTTTGCTCCTAAGGCCTCTCAATATAAATTACAAAAACATTTAGAGCTTCTCATCAAGCTTACGAGGGTCAACCGCAAGACGTGAAAAAACATTTGAAACAAAAAAAATTATATCAAATTACTTTACCCTAATGATGCAACAGTCTGTCCAAGAGGTGTCCTACAGCAAGTGTAATGAGACTGAATACTCGACGCTGTTTGCAACTTCTTTGTCCCAATGATACACGGTCGAATAACGTCCGGTCTTTCACCGTAAAACCACTGACCGACAATTGCAACTTGAACGAGCACAGCGAAGAGTAGAACGAGGGCCTTTTTAAAAATTAATTAATGCGATCAGTGATCTTCATTAATGAGTGATTAAATTCGTCTAGATAAACATCGATATTCGAAAGAATTTGCTTTCCTCCGGGGGGCATTCAAGTCGTTAGATGATTCGATACTGACCTGATAAGGGGCCGGGAGATATATTCCACTGTTGAGAGAAAGCAGAAATACGCACTTGACGAGTAGAGCAGCAAATATAAGTGCTGCTGGTAATCCAACTAGTCTAAATGCTGCACATGATAGTGGATTTGGAGCGAGTGAAGCCGCTGCTGATAATCCAGCTAGCATGAATAATCCTAAGAGGAGGGCTTGGCCGAGAAACAGGTGACGCCTGTTGGGAGCTGCTGCCCGTGCCTAAGATTATTCATAATCAATTTTAAAGGCGATGTTTTCAGAGCAAATTTCCAGAAATTATTTTCAATTTTTTTTAGTAATCGAGGATTTAAGGAGACATTCAAGATTTTTTTTATAATTAAGGATTTTTTCAACAAAAAATAGATTTTAACTCCTTTATTGTCATAGCATTGAACATTTATCTGCATCTGTTACAATGATAGAAAGGATTGTTATTGTTAACGAATGGATTTGGTTAGAGATGAGGGTCTATTCGATCTCACTAAATGTTCATTCGTTAATAGTTAACAAATGCATATTTGAGGAGGCTTGTTTGACTCGATTTTTACCTTTCAAGTGAACCATTTGTTAACTATTAACGAATATTCATTTGGTCATTCAACTCTACCATCCGTTAATAGTTAACGAATCTCGTTTGGAATAAATGAATCAGTCTATCAGTATACTTAAGGCTGTTTTACACACTGTTCGCCAAAATTCACGTTTTATGAATATTTTTCTGGTAAATTGTTGATCGGATTGAAAAAAATATACCGTTCTTGCACAAAATATACCGTTCTTGCGTTTTATCATTACTTAATGGCTCACGAAATTTCATGATCGTGCAATCATTTTCCTTTTTCCGTTTTTTCTAAAACTTTTTGGAAATTCACAAAACTTTAGAAAAAATGCAGGAAAATTATTACACTACCATGAAACTTCGTGAGTCAGTCAATAATGATAAAACGCAAAAACGGTATATTATTTCGCGTCAGTCCGATCACTAATTTGCCAGAAAAATGAAAAAAACGTGAATTTTGGCCGAAAGGGTGTAGTACATCCTTAAACTTAAATAAATCTAATAGTGCGATGAACAAGAACACAAGTAACCAATGACAATTATATTCAAATTCCTATTCCAATTCACCCAAATGCCAGTGACTGAGGCTAAAAATATGTGATATTAATGCTAATATTGTTATAAAATGAGATATATTCTATCTTGATGGTTTAGTGGAAGTATATACGCAGAAAAAAATTTAATTTTTTGGCTGATTCTATTGACATGTTCAATAAAAAAAGTCTTAGAACAGAATTCGATTTTTCTATATAACTTATTCTTTTCATATATTTTCTACAGAATCTGCTCGACTCAAATTTTCCAAGTTTTGTTCATTCTATTTTTCTTTTCTTCTCATCCCGAAAATCAAACGAAAAAACTTGGAAAATTTGAGTCAAGCAAATTCTATAGAAAATATATGAAAAGAATAAGTTATATAGAAAAATCGAATTCTGATACCTTTTTCTATTGAATTTTTTCTATTGAACATGTCAATAGAATCGGCCAAAAACTAATAGAACAGTTCAATAGAAATTCAATAGAATTTTCTAACGAATTCGATAGCTTTTTCTATTAATGTTTTTCGTCCGTGTATACACGGCTTGTGCAGATGTAAAACTGTAAAAGTAGCATCAATGAAATAAATTCTATTCTATTCTACTAGTGCGATGAAATATAGCAAATGAAATAGTATGCAAAGAGCTCAACTGAGACGGGATTTATGGGATTTAACTTGCCCTCACCTTAAATAACACAAAAATTTCGAAAACCGCCATAAGCAGCATGACCGCTGCACTGAGAGCGGCAAGCGGTAGAGCCCAAGACCGCTCCCTCAAAATATTCTGATAATAAGGTGCATTGACAGAGACCCCCGGTGTGAACCTTCCATCCTCGGCATACCCAATATTCCTCGTAGGATGATTAATAGAAATCGTTCTATTGGGCGGTGGTACACTTATAACACTCGCAACACTGCCCACACTACCATTTCCACTCCCCTCAGCCACATCGGGAATAACAAAAAATTCAGTTGATAATTCCGTGCGACTTCGTTTCATAAATCCTATTGTTTTCATCGTGGTTGCGCCAGTGGTTACACCAGCGGCTGCTGCGGCGATCATCATTGCTTCATATCCAGGGGATTCGGGGGGTGATGCATCTGCCCAGGCGGTACGACCGCCCAACACGGCGAGCCCCGCCGAAAATACGATGGGACTCACTCGCATAATTCGGAGAGGGCCTCAATAATTTTTTTCAATAAAGTACCTCTCCAATTACCATCGCTCCAGATAAATTGCTGACACCATCACCGCTGACAAAATTTATGTCTCCTAGTTGCTATTTTCATTCTTTATTTTAAGGTTTTTAATTTTTTTTTATTTTAAAAAATTGAAAACGATTTAGTGTGGGCCATCCTCAGGAGATTTTTTATTGAAACTATAATTTGGAGACGCAAATTAGTTTGTGAAGAAAAATCACCGATTGATAATAGCTTAATGTACCGTCAATTGTGTGTTATGAAAAATAAATTATCGTGTCGGTTATGCAAAAAAATTGTAAAAACGGACTGAAGTGGTGACCGGAGCACGGAGAGAGGTACGGCGTGGTGGCCGCTCAACGAGGAACTACGGTTGGGGCCTGGCTAGCCTATCCGTTACGGCCCAAAGAAGCCGAGAGTGGATGTTGCGACGATGGTTACTTGTTTAAGAGGAGAGAGAAAAAGATACGAGGAGGATTGTCTTCGGAAAAGGGCCCCCTTTCATGTGTGGGTACGGGTGTTATGGACGTTGGCGGAGATAGGGACACGTTGGAATGAGGAGAATAAGAGCGGAGGGAATGAGAGGAGAAGAAAGTACCCGCCCAAACCGTCCGTCGGGACCATTTACATATTCCGGATAGGGACAATAACCCCGGGTGATGTTCACTTACCGAGATTTTTTTTTCCATAATGGGAGATTGTTGGTTTATCAACTAGTTGTGAACATTTCGGGATATCAATTAATTTTTGAGGAGTGAGGGGTAACGGATATATTTATTTATTTAATTGGTACACATGAAATCTGCAATTTATAGTTTCAGAATTCGGTATATAAGATCGGTTGAATACAGTCTAGTCTCAATACAAGATACTGTCGTATAAGGCACTACACTGAAAGAAAGACTAACACATTGTCAAACAAGTCTTATTTGGGCCAACAAAATCGCTAGTTGAAAATTGCCAGAAAAGAATTTGTTTGGTTCAAATTTGAAAGTCTTCTTTCAACAGCAACAAAATATTTGGCTCAAGAGGCGGATAATTACATTTCTTGCGTCAACAGAGAATGCATTTTTTTTTTAATAATCCGCAATTCTCACAATTTTATTCCCCTACAGTCCCTGCGGTATCTTGAAGGGGAGGGTGGGGTAAAATGGACACTTTAGACTTTTTTTAAATTACTCAGATAACTCAGAAACAAATTTATCAATGGAGTTCAGTTTAGGCTCATCACAAAAGGTAAGAATTGCTCTTTGCATTGAAAAAAAAATTATTAAGTTTCATCACCATTTCAACCTGCCATTAACAGTTTTAAAAAAGTCAAAAGTATCCATTTTACCCCAACCACCCCTACAAAGATTGGACTGTAATGAAGAATAATATCCGCATTCAGTCATTTTGGGAAGAGAATCGATGAATTGAACATTCGATTCCGTTAGGGTATGGGGCCCATGTCGAATCGGTCAACAGCTGACCCTTACCCTCTCGAAAGTTGACGAGGATTTTTTATACGGTTGGGGGTTTAAAAAACTGAGTCTTGAATTTTTCAGCATTTTTCTACAGCTCGCATTGGAGACAGATTTTTTTGCGTTTTTATTTTTCAGTAAATTTTGCGCAATTGAAATACATTGTTTAAGCGAAAAATTTTAGATCTAGTGTATTTTCAAATTTTTTGGTCTGAATTCCATTATTTTCGTTGGACATCTTCGGGAATCGCCTCGATAACATTTCATATATTTCAATAAACAAATTATTTTAATGAATATAATCTGAAGAACTTGTAAATATTTTCAACAAAAACTGTAGAATTGTTTTAAATATTTTTTTAACTTCCGATAGAGAAAGTTATTGTAATCACCCCGAAAATCGATTTCCGATTTTTCATCAAATGTTGGCATTTCAAGGTCTCTAGACACTTTTTCAGTTATTTCGAGAAACATGTCTGTATGTATGTGTGTATGTAAATATCGCGAACGTCGAGTCTTTACTTAACTAAGTGCTGATTAGATTTTGGTTGGCAAGGCGTGACCCATTCTACTGTTTTTTAGCAAAACAGTGAAAAAAGTCCCGTTGATTCAAGTGAAAAATTCAAGAAAAATTCAAAATTTTCCTTAAAATTTTTGGGAATCGCCTAACATTTGAAAAAATTGAAAAAACTTCAAAACAAATTTCCTATATATTTAATAATTATAATCAACAATATCTAAGAAATTCATAAATAATTTCGAAAAATAAAAATGAAAAAAAAACATTCAAACGTTTTGAAAATTTTCGCATCAGGAGAAAAATTTCCACATGTAAATGTTAGCACTTCAATATTTATCTGCAGAATTCTCGGCAAAATATCTCCGAAAAGTTCCAGGAACCCTAAAAGACTCCGCCGGTAGAGCCTTTTTTCACCTCTCAAAATCCTTCGGGTGACTAACCGGTTTTCAAAACGAGTCAAATAACGTTCGATGCAGACAACACAGACACGCATAATCGAACATGTTTGCACCCGTGGGCGGATAAAAATTCATGCTGATGAATTTTTATCAACGCAAATGTTTTCAAGTTATGAAACACGTGACAATGCGGATGTATAGCGGTATCTCTGTGAGAATATTGAGGGGCTGTACTTTATGCAGGAAACCGTCTTGAAGTGTCCCGTGCACACACATGCACAAGCGTTAAAACACAGACACGAGGCGATAATAAAGATAAAGCATGCTGGATGAAATATTTTATCCCGGGAATTTGAATACCAGTCAATCCACTGCGTTTCATAATTTGTTTTCTCCACCCGTTTTTTTTTTCGCTTTATGAGGAATTAATACTTACTGGTTCGCTGGAGACAGATCAGTCGTGGATTTTTCAGAGTTGGAGTGACATATGTTCAGTTTTTCTCGCCTCAGAACGTAATCAGCTAGGTAAACACAGCGACAAATTTTCCTGATTATTTCTTGCATTCTGATTTCGACCAATCACAGGGCAGTATTTGACACCACGTGATCTTCGACAGTGTTATTTTGACGATTCCGGCGGAATTATCGATATTGTTGGTGGGAAATTTTAATCAGTAGTAATACCGCGAGAGCTTCAAAATGATCGGGTATTTCCCGATAGTTTCGTTGCAAACAAACCATAGTGTCAAGTTTTGTAGGTTTAATTTTCCTACAAAACTTGACACTCTCGTTTGTTTGCAAGGAAGATTGAGGGAAATACCCCATGCATTTTGAAGCTCGAGGGGTATTTGGAGGAGTATTTCCTCCATCGGAATTTCGGTCACTGGAGGGCAGCATTTGTTGTCAATGTGGTACAACCTGCACTTTCGCATTTTAATTATTTTGTTTATTCTCTCTTAACAACGTGCCGTGGTTTTACCAAATTTTCCGATATAAAACCGTGTAGGTTGTACCACGTGACATCAAATGCGTCTCTCCTATTGGCCGAGATTCCGATGGGGGAAATACTCAGAATTAAACACAAAAAAATTTAAGGCATAAATAGGGAAAATTTTGACAAGTGTCAGGTAATGATTGACTGAACATGATGAGGCTGTCCCATGCGCAGTGCATTGCACACACATACAAAAGCGTTGGAATACAGAACATGACGTGATAATAAAGATAAAACATGCTGGATGAGATGTTATCCCTGGAATTTGAATACCAGTCAATCCACTAGGTTTCTTTACTCGTTTTCTTCACCCGTTTTGTTTCGTTTTATGGGAAATTAATACTTACTGGTTCACTCGAGACAGATCAGTTGTGGATTTTTCAGAGTTGAAGTGACATATGTTCAGTTTTTATCACCTCAGAACGTAATATCGTATGCACAGCGACAAATTTTCCTGATTATTTCTTGCATTCTGATTTCGACCAATCACAGGGCAGTATTGGACACCACGTGACACCCCTCGAATGTTTTATTTTGGCGGAAGATTCTAATCTGAATTGAATCGAAAGTGAATTGAAGGCATAAATAGGTAACATTTGAGAAAAGTGTCATGCAACGACTGACTGAACACGACGAGGCCGTGCTGGACGCTATTTTTGATCCGCTCCAGCTAATATCCGATGCAAATAGGATCAGTTCTGATGAGCTTGTAGGCGATCCAAACGGTACCGTTACCTTTTCTCTTCCTCGCTCATGGTGATCGATTTTTTTTTTTGGATAATGAGGAATATGAACAGATGGAGTAGATGAGAAAGTTTTGGAGCTGGTGAAAACTGGAATCGAAACGGCGGAGGCCGGGAGAATCGATGAAGCGCTGAGGATTTTTGATGAGGCGAGGGAAAGGGCCCCCGATGATGCCTCGATCTTGAATGATCGGGCGCAAGCTCTTCGACTCGCTGGACGAATTAGCGGTAAATAGACATATTGGTGAATGTTTAATTGACTTGATGAAGAACTAGGTCATGGTTATTCGTCAAATGAGTCTCATCTGGAATCGGCTGTAGTTGATTGTAGGGTTCAAATTTTCCCGATATGAATTGAAATAAGAGACCAATCGTCAAAGAATCATCATTGAGAGGCCTCGGGAGTGAAAAAAAGCCAAAAGGGGATGAAAAAATCTGAAGAATAGCTTGAAAAATTTGTTCTCTTTTTAGGAAATGGATCAAACGAGTGAAGATCATGTGAAGAGGATAAAAAATTAAAAGAAATGTTAAAAAATGCGAAGCGGGTGACAGGTGTGGACGCCATCTTGCTTGGACATCTCCGCCCTCTGCCGCGAGAGCTTTTAAAAATGGCGGCGCCTCCGCCTCGTATTTCTAAACACTTCTTAAAATTATTTATTCTCTTCAGATTACCCTCAACCCACTTCATCCGGTTTCTATAAAATGAACAATTTTTTTAAGCCATCTGTCAGATTTTTCCATTCTCTTTCGGCTGAGAACTCCTGGCGTAAAGTTTTCCTCGGAGTTGAGTGATTTTTTTTTCACTACCGAGGCTTCAATTGATTTAGTGACGAACACACACACGATAATCACAGCTGAAGTGATATTGGACTCTCATCCCAAATCGTTTGTAGTTGATTGTAGAATTCTAATTTTTCCAGTACGAGTGAAAAAAAATCAACACTCGATTTAAATATTTGTTATTTACAGACGCATTGGAAAATTTGAACGAAGCCTTGAGAATGACCAACTCCCGGGGAAAAGTGGCTGGTAAGGCACTGTGTCAACGCGGTCTACTTCATCGTCTCGCGGGTCGAGAGGACCAGGCCAAACAGGACTTCCAAGAAGCTGCTAAAAATGGCTCCACTTTCGCACGCACTCAATTGGTGCATCTCAACCCCTACGCCGCCATGTGCAATGCCATGCTCAAGGAAATTAACTCAAAATCCTAAATTCAGCATTCGTGTTTTACCCAATTAAGAATGTTTATCCGAAACCGCAAGTACTCAGAAAATTTTTATTCAGTTTGAACTGATGGACTTTGTTCATTTAAATGCATTTCGTCAAAGCTATTGCAACCAATTTTCCTTAATCATCAGAAATGAAGATTTCATGTGTTCCCCGTCAGTCTAAAAAATGACAGAATTTTCCCCGAACATGAAAAAATTAAATTTTCGAAAAATGGATAAACATCCTTAATTGACTTGATGATGGATAGATTCCAATAATAAACGTCCCATCCACTTTTAATAATGGTCAGGAAGCAATTCATATTTACAGCTGAAATGCGATTGGATTCTCATCTAAAATCGTTTGTAGTTGATTGTAGAATTCAGTACATTTTTTCCCATCGCCCTCTATTTTTATTTTTATTTCTGGAATCTTCCAGTAGGTGAACTATCAATTTGAAAATAAATTCCATAAGAGCCCGTATATAATAAAAAAAATTGGTTCATTTAATTTCAATCAAAAATTTTACTTCAACACGAAAAAAATCAATTTTCGAAAAATTGATGAACATCCAACTCCCAAAACAAACAGTCTCAAGAAAATGTAATTAATATCTCCAAAATCTCATATCATCAATAGAATCGTGTATTAATCATAATATCATCTAGCTAATTAATAATCATCATTGGGCTTATTCACATAATAATACAAATAAATATCATTTCTCATAATAAATTCATTTAATGCACCTACCCAAAATATATAAATTATTATCAATGATCAGACACTCTCTTTTTCAATGCACAGTTAATAAAGAATTTTAAAAACAGTTCAAGTCACTCAGAGTTTTGCGCAAAATTTTCTATAGAAAAAAAATCCATTTTCAAAACCATCAAATCAACATTATTTTTATTTCTAACTAGAATGAAGTAAAAAGGGAGAAGTCTCCCCCCAAATTTTAATTAATAATTTTTCTCAATTTTCCCAACATTTTGAAACACTTTTATGAATCATCTTCATCGAAACGTCAAAAATGTTGACAAAGAATTGAAAAAAAAAATGTTGTTTGAAGCTTTTAGTCAATTTCGACTCGAGAGAATGAAGAAAACTTTAGGCAAAACCCCAGCTGTCGATAAATTGCCCTATCATAAATGCAAAAAGAGCCGAGGAGATGAGTTGGTCATTGCCGAGCCATCGGTCGCCATTCATTCTCAGAGATGGTATCCAATTGATTTTATTCCATCCATCTTTCAAAGTTTAAAAACGAAATTTTGAATATGAATCATGAATCCATTGCAGCTGGCACTCGTCAAATAAAACTCCTGTAAAAGCTAGTTGTAATGTGCTCCTTCGAGATGAATGGTAATTTACTTATCGTCGAGCTCATTGTGCTGGACCATTTCAAAGTCCTTTCCAGTGTTGGATTTTTCGCTCTCGGAGCCCTCTTCACCACTGGCGTCCTCCTTCTCCTCGCACTCTTGGTCCTGGGGTTCTTCGCTGAGGAGGGGCTTCTCATCGATTCTGAAATTCCAAAGAGAATGGAAAAATGTATTCCACATGTAAAAATGGAAAAATGACATTCACAAACATTGACATTGACATTGTCAATTTGTCATGGACATGTGAGAATGGAAAAATGTATTTCATATGTATTATATATATCGTCGCTCTAAAAGTAAAGAGGCGTAAGTGCCATTATTTTTCGATTTTTTTTTTCGATACCAAAGGGGCGTATGTGTTTTTTTCTTCGGAAATGAAGTTTTCTGTCTATATCTTAGGTTTTTCGTCAATTTTTTTTACGCCAAGTGGACGTAAGTCCAATCAGTAAACACTAAGAAGGCGTATGTCCGGTACTTACGCCCCTTTACTGTTATCCTTACTGATAATATTCTAATTTACGTGAAGGAAAATGAATAATAAAGGGGCGTAAGTCGAGCACTTACGCCCCTTTGTTTTTAGTCATTCATCCAATTTTTTATCCATCCTAAAAAATCATAATCACAAAGAGGCGTAACTCCCGTACATAGCAGAAATTCAAATGATACTGAGAAAAATAAGTATTTTTCCCTTTCATTGGAAAGTCTCGAAATGTATTATGATTACTCCATTGTC